ATGGTTTAACACTATCAGCTGCACCCACTGCCACCACTGTTTTAGACTTTTTATTAATTAATTGGGAATATGGGAATATGTCCCAATTGAGATTCCCAATATGTCCCAAATAAAATGGAATAAATGTCCCAAACATTTATTGCCAATTCCAGTGGCAGCTCAGGCCTTCTTGAGCTCCTGGGTGCAGCGGCCAACTTCTCTTTTTCTGACGTAATATTTTAGACTGATTTTCATAACTTTTTGATATATTTATTTAGCAGTTGAGACAAGAGAACGGGAAGAGGCTGACTCTGAGTCCCATTGCCACTACCGGTAGTTTGTTACCATGTCTGTACTGTAAAAGCAGCCAATCAAATTCTCCTCTTCTCTCCATGCTTTGGGTCCTGTTCAGATTTCAGCACATGCCCATCTTACCTGTAACCTACGTGGTGATGCGATACGTTTGCGTTGTTCTGCGACGCCTGTGGGGTCAGTACCTAGCTGCTGTTCCACAGGGTGGGTCTGATTCTGCTTACACTGGGGTTACAAGTTTTGTTTGGCAAAGCTGGGCTCCGCACCTCAGGGGTGCACTGCTTTGTGTCCTTCACGATGTACCTCGATTCACTGCCGTAATAGGATATTCCCAGCGATAAGTGCTTGATAAAATGAAGGTGTTTAGGAACAGACCTCATCTGGACAGCTAGAAACAGTGATCCTCGTTCCAGTGATGTGGGGAAGGAGAGAGGGAGACCTGTGAGTGATGCTCTCTAGCAACATCTGTCCGTGTTCATCGGCCTGTTGTTCGGTCCGTAAGACATGTAAAGGTGGCTTGTAATGCCGTTGGAAAGAGGTTTTCTTGGGTTTTTTTTTGATTTCCACTCATGCACACTTGGATGTGCCAGAACACAACTGAAATGGGGAGATCCAGAAATGATAAGTAACTGTTAAAAACTGAGGATGTGCCTTGTAAGCTCATATAGTTTTGGTGGCTCTACACAGTGTTGTCCTTGAGTGTCAGTAGATTGAGAAGCACTGGGCTGGGGCGTAGAGGCCCGGATTAGTACTGTTAAATCTGGATGTGCTTTTACTGCTTTCCCTTCTAGAGAAGCATTTGTCTTAACGTTTAATTTGTGAGAATATGTTTCCTGTAAGCTTTTTTTCCATCCAGAGCTTCCGTGTTTCGGGGGGAATGAACAGTGGCCCTTGCCTCACACAAAGATTAGGATTAGCATCACAAATGAGGCAGTATGTGCTATTAATTCCTTAATACTGTTCAACCTCTTTGTTCCAGTGTATTTCTGCTTAAGGGCCCTGCTCCTGTTCTCTTTCCTCTTCTCCTAAAGCTGATGGTGCATTTAATTGTTTAAAGCAGTGATAGCCACTTCTGACTTTGCTCCAGTGGAAACAGTGAACCTTACAATCGTTTACTTTGTGCAGAGAAGAGTAATTTACTGAGGTTTTGGTTCAAGTGAAGTGAAGCAACTGATAGCTAAAATAACTAATAGAAAAAATACTCATGAATTCAGCAAGCTTTAATTATTGTTCTTTTATCCCCCAGGCAGTGTATGTTTGCCCAGACCTGTATAGGCACGGACAGTTAGTTTTACATTCACTAAACATATAAGCATCATCTTCATCAGGATCAAATCCTGGAGATCTGACCTCTGTGCCTAAAATAAAGATGACTGATATGTTCTTGTCAAAAGTCTGGTGAAATGGTTTTGCTGGTGGGTTTGTTTGTTTATTGGGGTTGGTGTGGGGTTTTCTTCTAATTACTTTAGTTTTTTAAAAATTAATTTAATTTTTTAAGCTAGTGTGTGTGTCCAGAGGCACTTCTGATTTTAAGAAGTTTTCATCTGAAAGGATTTTTATTCCAGGCTGGTGCTAATGAATCCATACACTGGTAGTTACCCTCCTGTGAGGCAGGAGAAATTAGCTTGGGTGCCTTTTCCACCAGACACTGAAAGGAGGAGAGAACATACACCCCTTACCCGACAAACTGCATTTCATGTAAATCCTTGGACAGTTTTGGTTTTATTCTGGTGTGAAGCAGTTTCACTCCTAAACCCAGGTACACGTAGGAATTGTTCCCCTCAGGTCAGCTCCTCTCATCCATCAGGCTGTCAGCCTGAAGGGAACAAGCAGAGCAGTGGATCCAATGTTTGTTTGCTGTAGTCTGAGCTCAGGGAATCTGAGGAGCAAAGGGGTGTTTCTGAAGAACAGAAAGAGGTCCAACTCACAAGAAAACGTCGTGGGGAAGAGGTGGGTTTCTGTACTGGCTCCGTTTGCAGCACAGGTGATTGCGGGTCCTTGTCCCCTTCCCCACGAGGTGCCACCCCGGATGTTTTTAGAAGAGTTGTATTTTGTGCCTGAACAGTGGAGCTGGGCGTTTGCCTGCGGAGCTCTGCGTGGCACTCAGTCGTGTCCGGAATGAGACAGAGCCTATGGACCACTTGGTTTCTGTCTCCTGGAGCTTTGAATGTGACAACCTGATAACTGCCTTTTCTCTTCCTGTTTCCCTCAGCCTTGTAAAGCCCATGCGACACTATACAGTCTTCCTCTCTGAGGACTCTTCTGATGATGAATTTCAGCAG